GGCGGGCGCCCGCGATGTGCCACTCGGCACCTCCCCCGCCGGGCCCGGGCTGCGCGGCGACCGGGCGGCCCTGGTAGCTGGGCAAGCGGCGCGGAGGGGGCGAGCCCGGCGTGCGGCTCTCATTGTTGGGGGGGGGGGCCCGTCGGGGCATGAGGGCGAGAGCACGGCGGGGGGGGCGGCCAGACAGAGCGAGCAAGGAGGAGGAGGAGGACGCCGAGGAGGAGGAAGGAGGAGGCAAAGAAAAGAAGCGGCGGCGGCGGAGGAGGAGGGGGCGAGGAGGCGCGCGGCCCCCCGCTCCCTCCCTCCCCCCTGACCCCCGACCCTTGCCGGCCGGCCCCCAGCCCCAGCCCCGGAGGGAGCTCATGGGAGTATGAAGGAGATGGTAGGAGGCTGCTGCGTATGTTCGGACGAGAGGGGCTGGGCCGAGAACCCGCTGGTCTACTGCGATGGGCACGCGTGCAGCGTGGCCGTCCACCAAGGTACGGGGGTGGCTGGCGGAGAGCGGCGGGACCCGGGGCGGCGCGCGCGGGGCACCCCCAGCCGCGCCCTCGGGAGACCTCCCGGGGCTCGGGTGCCCCTCCCCCACTCCACCTGAAGGGAAAGGGAGGTGTGGGGACTCCCCCCCACCCCGTCCTGAAGGACCGGGTCAGGCATTGTTTTCTTGCCTATTGTTCCAGTCCTGCGCCCCCCACCCCAAGTTGAGGGAGTTTGGGGAGAGTCTAGAGGGCAATGAGTGCAATCCCACAGCCCCAGTGTCGGGGCTGCTGGGGGCATGTTTACCTGCGAGGTGTCCCCTCCCGCTTGGTTATTTTGGTCCCAGCTCCCAGAGGGAGAGGGCAAGGGGGGGGTCACCACCCCCACCCCACCCCCCACCCTGCTTCCGGATACTGGGAGGAGCAGAATTAGGAAGGGAGGAGAAGAGTCCCAGAGGAGAAGGGACTCCTAAAATCCTCCAGGGAAGAGCTGAAGATAGGAGTGAGGTTGTGCAGGGGGCTGGGAATGGAGAGGAGGGAGGTTTGGAGTTTCCCCCAGCAGCACATGGTTCGGGAGTTAACTCCTTGAGGAATCTTGCCGAGGGCGCAGGCTGGCATCTCCCGCCTCCCTGGCACAGCCAGCTGCCCCCTCCCCTTTCCCGGGACAATCCTTAATCCCGTGGCTCTCTGCCCTTCCCGCCACTCTCCTCTGATTACCAGCACTGCGCTGGTCCTCTGACGTGACTTTTGACTTGTACCTGTGAAAGTTAGGAGCAGAACATGAGATTTCTGGGCCCCCAACTTTCCTGCCTTCTCCTTTACTGGCCCTTTAAGAAGCACTACCCCCCCTTACACACACACACACACACACACACACACCCCAACAAAACATGTTTGAATATCAGCGATAACGGTAACTGTTACCCCTCTCATTTTCTCTGAGGACTGGGACAGGCTGGAACTGGGAGAGATGTCCAGATAGGGCATGGAAAGAGGTTTTTCTAGAAGTTTAAGATCAAGGATTTAGACTGCCACCTGCTTGGAGTGCTGCCTGAATGGGTTGTGTGGTTGAAGGCTGGCTGCTATTGGGTGTTGGTTGTAGTCCCTCCTGTCTAGCAAGTGACTCCCAGACTGGGGAACGTCCCCCCTGCAGGAAGTGGATCGAGTCCTTTAGAGTCTTCCCACCCCACTGCCTCTTCAGTCACTCTGGGGGAAAGCTTTTGACTGACAGATTGCCTCAATGCTCTCTCCCCCTCCCTCTCACCCCCAGCTTGCTATGGCATCGTCCAGGTGCCAACAGGACCCTGGTTCTGCCGGAAATGTGAATCTCAGGAGCGAGCGGCCAGGGTGGTGAGTGTGAGACTCCCCCTCACTGTTTCCCTTCCCCGCCCACACACCTGAGCACCTCCTCCGGGCTGAGGCAGAGGAGGGTGGGCCTTCGTTCTGTCATGTAGAGCCTATCAGCAGCCCCATCCATCTCTGTCACTCACTCTTCCTCTGTTTCAAGCATGGGGCTTTTTGGTTTTGTTTGTTTGACTTTATTATGGGAATTTCTAACCTAAGGGAATGTTCTGAGCAGGCTCAAACGCCTTAGCCCATCTTCAACAGTATCAATTCAGAGCCAATTCTGTCATTCCTATACCCTCATCCACCCTACCCCCAGATATTGTCGTATATACGTTACGTTCTGAGGCCTTTCGAAAGTTTGGGGAGGGCCCGGTTTATCAGCCACCCGCCCCTCTTGGGGAAGCCCCGCCCCCTTTGGAAGTCCCTCCTCTAAACTCCCTTGCCTCCTTGCATTGGCAGAGATGTGAGCTGTGCCCACACAAAGATGGGGCATTGAAGAGAACAGATAATGGAGGTGAGGGGGGCCCTCAGAGTAGGGGGCTCAGAAGGCAAGGGTGGACTGAGGTGGGAGTGGATGCTCGCTTGCCCTCTCCTGGATGGCATTGGAATCTGGTGGGGTCATTCTGGAGGAGAGGCCTGTCTGCCTTGTGAGGGGGTAAGGGGTGGGGATCTCAGGCTCCCCAACCACAGCTGAGGCTGGCCCTACACTACCCCAGGCTGGGCCCATGTGGTGTGTGCCCTCTACATCCCTGAGGTGCAGTTTGCCAACGTCCTCACCATGGAGCCCATCGTCCTACAGTATGTGCCTCATGATCGCTTCAACAAGGTGAGTGGCCCCTGCTGGGCTTTGTTACCCCCTTCCACCCTTGGGTCCTTCCAGCTCTTTTTCATCCAGTGTACCTTGATTCTGTCCCACCAATACTTTCAGGAACTATAAAAGACTAGTGGGCACCTAACAGTGAACCGCTTATACACACACAAACACCCAACAATGAACCACTTACACTCACACTCTCTCACTGTCTCTCTCTGTCTCACACATGCCATGTGCCCACATACACTCTAGAACTCAAAGTAGATCATGGGCTCCCTGGCCAGAGCATTGTTGTGTTGCTGTATACCACCGAGGAGAAACCGACCCTGTCGCTTATATTCAGAGGCAGTAAATTGCATAGGAGGAGATAGCCCATCTTTCTCCCGTGGAGCTGCTGGTGATTTGAACTGTGTGTCTGTGAGTTGTCACAGAGCTCGCTGGCCTGAGGGTAGGCCCCAGCAAGTATTTCATTCATTCACTGGTCACATTTTACTGAGTACTTACTATCTGCCAGGCCTGGCGCCAGGCGCATAGTGTGCAGTGGGATCAGGCAGCTGGGCTAGACATGGGTGGCACTCAGTTCCATCACACACACCTTTCTGCTACTGGCACTCCTGTGGCCAAACCCATCTCTCCCTGAGCTTATTCTGCCCTGCGCAACATACATTTTTTAAGAGAGGGCACATAACATAAATATCACCAACCAGGCAAATAGTAAATGTGATAAGTGTGGTAAAGAACTTGCACTGAGATAAAGAGTATGTGGCAGGGGCTTGTTGTTAATAGTTGTTAGATGCCGTCAAGTTGAGGACAATACATAGAGACCCTATGAACAGGCCTGAATCCTGTCCTATCCTGCGCCATCCTCACATTTCCTAACACACTAGAGCCTAGTGCAGCAGTCATGGTGTCAGTCCACCTGGTTGAGGGTCTTCATCTCTTGTGACAAGGGCTTAGTTTAGATAAGAGAAATGTTTTGTGTGTAATCTGAGGGATGAGAAGGAATAACCTTTGGGGGAAAGTTCCTTTGGCAACTTCGTGTAAGTTCCTGACTGAAGGAGCAGCATGTGCAAAGGCTCAGGGCTTACAGAGCTCTGTCCAGGACTGTGTTAACCAACTTTTTAAATTAATTACTCAGAAAAAACTCAAACTTAAGGCCATTGAGTTGGAACTGACTCATAATAGATTGCCCATCTTTCTCTCTCAGCTGGTAGATTCGAACTGTCATACCTTTAGTTTAGCAGGGCAGCGCCCTCTGGACTGTGCCATGAGGGCTCCTTGTAAACTAGCCAACATTAAATAAAATTTAAAACTCAGCTTTGGTCATTCTTACCGTATCTAAAATGCCTAGTAGCTATTGTGATTAGTAGCTACTGTATGGGACACTGCAGAATACAGAATGTTTCCATCATGTATAAGATTCTATTAACTAGCACTCATCTAGGATCACTGAGAGAGGCTAGCGTTAAGGAAAAGGCGGGCAGAAGGAATGCCCAGGCAGAATGGCTGCCCTGTGAGAAGGGGACAGTTACTCTGTGTCCTGCAGACCTGTTACATCTGTGAGGAGCAAGGCCGGGAGAGCAAGGCTGCCTCAGGAGCCTGCATGACTTGTAACCGCCATGGATGTCGACAGGCTTTCCACGTGACCTGGTGAGACCCCTGCCCTCCCAGCCCCAGGGAGCTCAGGAAACAGGGCCAACTGCGCTGTGCCCATTGAAGGTCGTCCTTGCTGCTGTCTCTTTCACGAGGACAGCACTGCTTCCTTGCTTGGTCTTGGTCTACCCTAGCAGGGATCCAGGAGCGGGAGAGGGAGGTGCCTGGTCTGGTTTGTGGCTGAGCCCCTCTCAGCTAACCTCTCCTGGTTAGTGCCCAAATGGCAGGCCTGCTGTGTGAGGAAGAAGTTCTGGAGGTTGACAACGTCAAGTACTGTGGCTACTGCAAATACCACTTCAGCAAGATGGTGAGTTGTGCGTGTCGGGCAGGAACCAGCAGTCAGCTGTTGTGTAGAGGGCATGGGCTCTGGGCCAGACGCATTTCCGGTGCTGGCAGAACAGAACAGAGATGGACAAGACAAGTCCTTGCCCTTGAGATGAAGACTAGATCAGAACATATCTTGAAAGCCCAAACAGTCCATCCCAAAAGACAGAATGAAGACTCTGCCTATGAGAGTCAGGAAGGCTCCAGAGATGTGGCATTTAAACTAAGTCTTGAGGTGGAAATAGTAATGATGAGAGCTGTCACTTGTTAGGGTTTGCCATGCCCCGGCTTCTGTTCCAAGTACTTTGCATGTGTTATTTTATATAATCCTCTGTGCAGCATCAAGTGCATTTTGTCCATTTTACAGCTGAGTAAAGTGAGGCTTAGCAAGGTTACATAATTTATCTCAGAGGTGGTATAAGGAGTCCAAAACACAGCAGTCTGATTTGAAAGCTGCTAAGGAACCTGCTAAGCAGGACAGAGAAACCCATTCTAGGCAGAGGGACTCGCAGAGACACAGGTCTAGTGATGAGAACAAACAGGAGTGGCTGAAGAAGTGGGTGTTGGGTGGGGATGAGGCAGGAGATAAGGAAGCTCAGGCTAGGCTAGATCTGGTAACTTTTGCCCCAAGCTTATGGGGTCCATGGAGAAGCCCAGAAAGGGTATGAGTCACTATTTGTGGAAAGATTGGCATGTTCCAGAAGTGGCTGCGTGTTCTGCAGCCTGTCCAGGAAGCCACTTGGACCTCACCCCCATGCCATGGACAGCTGGAGAGATTTGGATGCGAGGGAGTAACATGATCAGATTTGTGTTTTAGGAAGATTATCCAGGCAGCCACCACTGGGGACCTGGATCAGAGGCTGCGGGCTGGCAGAGAAGAAGAGTTAAAGGGGACACCTAGACCTAGTCTCCAGGCTGTAGACACTGGGTGAATAGGACTTGAGTATCTAAAGGTACCATGAACGAGGAGAGCAGCTAACTTCTGTAGGGTGTCAGTGTCCTAGTTTGCCCCAAACGCTACTGGTTTATGCCTGTTACCCTAGTGTAATTATTAATAGCACTTTTCATTTTTCAGAAGAATCCTGGCTTGGAGCATAAATTAGACAGTTGCCGTGGTTTCACAGTTGATGATAACTTAGGACAAGATAGGGAGCTTGGTTTGGTTTGTAGGAGGCGCTGAGGAGAGATATTCAGATTTGGTAGATGCTGATGGCAGCTCCAGGCCTGTAAGACTGACCAGGAGTCTCCAGGGTCTCCACTTAGGCCAGGTGAACCGAGGTGTGAGGAGAGCTGGGAGAGGGAGATCCAGGGCTCAGTAGAGTAGGAGTGACACCCCATGCCAGGTAGGGATTAGGTCAGATAAAGCCTGGAATGAGTCCTTGGATTTGTCAGCGTTTGTTGACCAGGACAGGTGGAAGCCATAAGGCCAGGCAAGAGACAGGCGAGAGCTGGATCCTGGCTGGAGGGAGAGGCAGTGGAAAGATTTTTGTTTATTTCCCCACTTGTGAAGGCAGCATGCCTTCTAGAATAGAGGAGCCACCATATTTGGTAGAAGGGATGAACAAGGGAGCAGAGGTGATAGAGAGAATGTGGACTCTAAGGTAGCAGGGACTGCCCTTTAAGGCCCCCAGCACAGCCCTTACCCTAGAAATGGAGGCAGAGTTGAGTCAGGAAGGCACTAAAGAAAGAGTGGCAGGTGGTCTGGACCCTGTCTTACCTCCAACTCTGCGTTGCTGAGGGGCCAGCACAAGTTCTTCCTTTTTGCCAAAACTGAGCATTGAATAAGCCAACTCAGGAATCTCCAGTGTTCAGACTGACAATCCCACCTCCTGCTAAGCAGACGATCCAAAGATAAGTCTTCTTGGTGGTCAGCAGGGCAGGAGGGACTGAGCATCATTTGACCTCCAGAAATGTTTTCTTAGACTAGTGAGAGGAGGGTGTGACAGTTCATCTTATTTTCTCCCCTAGAAGACATCACGACACACTGGCAGGGGGGCAGGAGGAGGAGGCACAGGGGGCAGCAGTGGCAGCAGCAGTGGCTTCATCACCGGCCGGAGAAGCCGCTCAGCCTCTCCATCCAGCCAACAGGAGAAGCACCCTGTCCACCATGAGAAGGGCCAGAAGAAGGTAAAAGTCTTCTCCTGCACCCCCACCCCCCATACACACATCTCTTTCAAGAATTGACCTCAAGGTGTCCCCAAGGGCTTGAGGCCTGCCCCCCACCCTTCCTCTGAGGCCCCAAGGGACAGAAGGGGCCTGAGGAAGTGAAACATGAAAGTCATGGAGGATGAGGGGAGGTCGTGTCCTGCCTGTGACTCTTTTTGTCTCTGTGTGGTTCCCCTCACCGTGGCAGAGCAGCATCCTCAAAGCCCAGCTTGTTTTGCCCCTGCCCACAGTTGAAGCATGTGCGCACCAGGTTCATAAGAGAGCCTGCCTGTGCTCCCCTGCCCCTCCGTGTTACCATGGGGCACATCACAGCAGCCCAGGTTCTCATTGCTCCTGTAGCTCAGCATCCCTGGGTGGAGGCCCTTGCAGGTGTGTGTGCATGGTGCTTTGGTGTTACTGGCATGATAATGGGACAGGCTATTTTTAGCAGGCCATAGGGATGAAGGGAAGAACTGTTGGCTTTCACAGGAACCTGTCTGTCTTAGTAATGTGGTGCATCTGTAACAGAAAGACCACAAGTGAGTGACTTTAACACATGTATTTATTTTTTGGTTCAGGAGGATGAAAGTCTAAATTTAAGGTGCCAGCTCTAGGGGAAGTCTTTCTCTTTCTGGCTCTGGAGAAGGGTCCTTATTTCTTGTGAGCTTCTACCTCTGGGCAATCTTCATGTGGCTTGTCATTTATCTTACCCCATCTCTGCTTGCTGGTGGCATTGTTTCATCTCTTTTCTACCTCAAAAGAGATTGACTTAAGATTTTCCCTACACTGGTCCTATTGCATTAACATAACAGAAACAGCTTGTTTCCAAATGAGATTATAATCGTACAGAGAGGTTAGGTTTATTATATGTATTTTGGGGGGATGCTTTTCTTTCCATAGCATTCCGCCTTTTGCCCCCCAGATTAATGTCCTTGCCACATACAAAACACACCCAATCCATAATTTCATCCCTCAAATTTTTTTACAATTTTTCTCCATTTTTTAATTTGCATGAAGTCATACTGGTTTTGATTCAGTCATTCACATGCATTTTGTTTTATAACATTCATTACAATTAATTAATTACAGCACATCATCAAACCCTTATTTCACATTGATTTTCACTTTACCTAATTTATCTATTAATTTTTTTCCCCTCTCTCCATTCTCATCCCTGCTAAGTCTCTGAGGTTGACTTCCCCAAAATCTTAAATCAATTCTCAGTTCAAAATACCATCTTCTGAATAATCTTAATGAAATATGGATGAGACATTAGGTCTGTCCCATTCTGGGGCAGAATTTCTCTTCATCAGAGGACCTGTGCAATCTAGGCCACAGTTGCCTACATCTAAGGTACAAAGGTAGACAGACTCAGGGTAGACATTCCTATTACAAATGAGAGAGAAAGAAGGGGTTATGGGCACCAAGGAAGGACAAAATCCAGCAGAACAACTTGCGTTCTTGCTCAGGCTTTAAAAATAATCCTGTATAGTTTGAGACCATCTGGGCAATGGCCCTCCCATCTAGGTCCTGGGTATTGGCCATACTTTCTGGACTCTGGGTGGAGGCCCCTTGGCCCTGGGCTTCAGCTCTGGCTTTCAAACCCACTGGGATGGCAGCTCTACTCTCTCAGCTTTGACCAGCCACATTGTCCTAGTCCATTTGACTAGCAACCCTGTTCCTTTGAGCATAGCAGCCCTGCCCCGTCAGCTTTGGGCAGTGGTCTCATCTTCTTGGCAGTCCTAAGCAGCAGATCCAGACTCTGGAACCAAGGGGATAAACACCTGTCTCTGAAACCTAGGAGGTTATGGCCTTGCCCTTTGGAACCCAATAGGCCAGGTTCAACCCTTTGAAACCTAGGCTGCCCTGCTCTCCTACTCCTGACAAGTCTGCTGGTCTCCAGCTTGTTCCAGGGATGGTTCTTTTCTTTCTTGGAGGACATCAGATGTAGTTCCTTTAGCTTATTTCTTGCCTATAGCATTCCAGCAGGCAGAAAGTGTTCTTTCTCTACCTCCTTCAGCCTAAGTTGATGCATTTTCTACAGTGATAGTTCATTAGATCCACCTATCACAGGCTTAATCTCTTTAGCAAAAGATTATTGTCACTACATCCTTGGAGAAAATTCTAGCACACATGCCCTTAGCTTGTATAATAGAGTTTTCCAGATCTTTTAAGTTTTGTTTTCATTTTTCACAGTTCAGTTTTTTAAGCCCATTCCCCCCCCCACACACACACACCTCTCCTTCATTTTACTGTAAGCAGTAAGGAGAAACCACAGGGCTCCTTTAAGATCTTGCTTAGAGATCTTCTCAGCCAGATATCAAAGGTCTACCTTCCACCAAATAATTTGGGCATCATTCAGACAAACTCCTTCCCATTCCATGAAAAACATCCCTTTTCCTGCATTGTCCAAAGACATATTCATCATTTGCTTTTTTTAAGTTGTACTAGGAGCACATTTAACAGCCACATTTCTCACTACTTTCTATTACTGGTACCATATATTTTCTCTTAAATGATAGAGATCTTCACTGTAAGCTCTTCTTATTTCTTCCCAAAGTCATCAGCAGAATTGCTTTGACTTCCATAATTCTATCATAGTCTTATCAAGGCAACCTAGGCTTTTTGTTGTTAGTTGCCATCAAATAGAGTACGACTCAGCAACAGGTCTGAAACTCTTTCAGCCCCATTGATGTATGCTCAAACTACTTGCAATATTTTGGGTAATTTTTAGAGTAGCACCACACTTCCAAGACCAAATCCTGTCCTATGTACCAGAGAGCAGTGCCACAGGGGAGTGGCTTTATGAAACAAATTTATTTCCTCACAGTTCAGAAGGCCAGAAGTGTGAATTCAGCCAGAGTTCCGACCATAAGGGAAGTCTTTCTAATGAGCTTCTGCTCTTCTGGGTAGTCTTCATGAAGCTTACAATTTTTCTTTCATGGTTCAAATCCACCAGATACTCTGCTGGAGAAGGAGGGACAATTTCCTCCTGTACCAGTCAGATTTGATTTGACGGTACACACACAAAAAATGTAAAATAAAAAAAAACCCAACCAAAAATTCTTTCCTACTCTGCTTTTCTTACTTGGTTTATCTTTTTTTTCTATTCCATACTGTCATGTTTTTATTATAGCAACATTGTTGCAATTGTTTTCTCTTTTTTAATCTCCAAGGAAAGAGATGGACACAAGATTCACCCTACACTAGACCTGCCTAATTAACTAACAAAACCAACCCATTCCCAAATGAGATTATGACCACAAACCTAGAGGTTGAGATTTACAACACATATTTGAGGGACACATAATTTAGTCCATTATCTGTGCTACTCCTTTTAGTCAAGGCCCTCTAGTTCTTCCAGAGGAACATGATTTCTTTGAAGACATCCCTAAATAAATGTCATTGCCCCATGTCTAGCTATCATAATCCTCCTCACCAGACAGCACTCCTTTAACTCCTTAGAGTCGGAAGGACAAAGAACGCCTTAAACAGAAGCACAAGAAGCGGCCTGAGTCACCTCCCAGCATCCTCACCCTGCCTGTGGTCCCCACTGCTGACAAGGTATATTCAAGAGGGATGGGGTCCTGGTCTCAGAGCTCTAGGGGGAGGGAGGTAGGACACAAGGGGTAAAGGTGGTTCAGGGGACCCGTGTGCCCTTCTTGAAGCTTCAGGTTAAGGTGCTTCCCACACATCACCACCTCCGTGTACCTCTTCCAGTCCTCTGGTTGCAGTCTAGAAAGGCCAAGGATCCTCAGCTCTGCCAATCACTGACCAGTCATGAGGGTGGGGATGGGCTGAGGGATACCACCCTTCCTGCTGTCAGAATGTTCACCTCTGTCTCTGCAGAGTGGGAGGGTACAGTACTCAGGCCACTTTTTCCAAGTTCCTGGGCTCATTTCCACCAGAGAAAGGACCCCTTTTCTCTCACACCTCCCCTACTGTCAGGCAAACACCGAAAGTCTGTCATCAGACCAGAACCCCACTTGCTGCAGCTTGTAGGCACTGAGAGTCCTAATCATGATGGGCAGGCCCCTACCCAACACCCCCTAACCTCCACCCAGCCACCCTTTCATGGGGCACAGACTGTAAGGCTTGTCTCCAGAAATGGACAACATCTGGATGGGTAACACAAGGGCCCACCCGGGGCCAGAGTGTCTAATCCAAGCCAGAGCCACCCTCCCTCCAATCTGCCCTCCTTTTGCAAGAACTGGAGACTGGAGAAAATGCTTCCTCCTGTTGTCCATTATTGCCCAGTTCACTTCCATCCCCCTTCTCCCATGCAGTTGGCAGAGCCCTGGGCATCTTAGCAGGAGACTAAGGTATCAGGTTTCTAGGGTGATGTTACTATGGCAACTGTCCCAGCAACCCTCTCTCCTCCCCACTCCCAGGGCTCACCTGGAAGAGCCTGCTGTCCATGCCTTTTGACCTTTCCCAGTGGCCTGCAACCTTGCCTTAACTCTGCACACAGGTAGAGAAAGAGAGCCAGAGCTCTGGGAGTTTCTCTGGTCACTCAGTGTCCTCTCAGACATGCCAGAGCCCCTCCCAGCACCCTCTGTGGCCCAGCAGTTTAGCTGCCCCTCCCCCTAGGCCCTTTCCTTTCTTGCTTTCAGGACCACATCTGGCTCCCTTCAGAACTCCAGCTGTTGAAAAGAACAAAGAGGAAGACAGAGACCAGGGCTCCACCCAGGGAGGGTCTATGTAGGGTGGCTCTTGTTCCCCCTCCATTCTTCCATTCAGGACCTGTTAATTGTGCTAGCCTGGACCAGGGACTGGGCCAGGTCCTGAGACCCCAGGAAGAAAGTGCCACCTGTGTCTTAGTAAGAAGTATTAACTCACCACTGTAGAACAAGGGGATAGCCCATTGAATCTTCAAAATAATCTAGTAAAGTAGGTCTTTTTAGAAGAAATCAGAAACAGAGAAATTAGGTGATTTACCTGACAGTGCATAACTAGTAAGTAGTGGAGTTGAGATTTGAACCTAGGAAGTCTACCTTGAGGAACTTTTTCCTTAAAAGCACATCCTGGTGTCTCTTGCAGTATTTTAGTAATAACTGTAGTTTGTATGCTTAGAATAGTAGAGCACCTATGAAAGAGAGGAAGACTCCCAAGATAGATTGACACAGTGACTGGAACGGTGGGCTTGAGCACTGCAGAGCCTGTGAGAATGATGCAGGGTAGGGCAAAGTTTGATCTGTTATTCATAGGATCACTGTGTATCATGGTTGACCCAGCAGCACCTAAAAATAATTATTAGTCGGATTCCTACTATTTTTTTTTTATGTGTACCGTCAAATCAGATCTGACTGGTACAAGAGGAGATTGCCCCCTCCTTCTCCAGCAGAGGATCTGGTAGATTTGAACCGCATACCTCTGGGATTGCAGTACACTATCTTGCCACTAGGCCACCAGAGCTTCCTGGATTCCTACTATTTGTTGACCTCATACTGTGTATCTGGAGTTATGCTTCTTAGAACTCCCCATCCAGGCATAATTAGCGCTATAAGAAAACAGAAAGAGCTCGGTGAGCTTGAGATCCGCCAGTGAACAGTGAGCCAGCCAGACTCCGGCACTGTCCCTGTCCACTTTTTCTACCACCTTCCTGCTGCCCTCAGATTCAGGGATGCTTGATTTCCATACCCAGTGGCTGTTAACATGGTAGATGTGAGTACATGGCACTCTGGAAATAAGACAGAGTGACCGTGTACCCCAGGTCTCCAGTGGAGGCTTCCCAGAACAGGGGCTTGAAACTGGATTCAGGAGGACAAGGAGCATAAAGCTGGGCTCAGCTCACATGGAAGTTCAGGCTATGAAATCCCGAGTGGGCAGTGAGGCAGGTGGCTGCCACTGGAGGTAAGCAGGGAAGGAGTGGTAGGAGTTGGAGAAGCCCAAGGAAGGCCGTTCTCCCTCCCTGTGGCTCCTCTTCCCAGCGCAGGTCAAGCCCTCCCAGGTGCCTTGATATTTCTTGAATGAATGAGAAGGTAGATGAACAAGTCATAGCCACACTTCAGAGATACTGCAGGTTCAATTCCAGGCTGCCATAATAGAGCTAATAGCAGAATAAAGCGAGTCACACAACTGTCTGGGTTTCCCAGAGCATATAAATGTTATGTTTACACTTTATTAAGTAAGTAATACCATTATGAAGTAAGTAATACCATTACGAATACCATTACGAGCTCTGGTGGCCTAGTGGTAAGAAGCTGTGCTGCAGTATTGAAGGCACGTGGTTTGAAGCCACCAACTGATCTGAGAAGGATGGGCCGTCTTCTCTTGTGTGGATAACTGCCTCTGAAAACCCACCTGAGGGTCAGCTTTGGCTTGGTACACAACAACAACCAGCATTATGAAAAAGTTCAAGAATTGTCAGAATGCGCTACAGAGCTATAAAGTAAGCACATAGTGTTGGGAAAAGGCACCTGTAGGCTTGCTTTAGGAAGGGTTGCCACAACCTCCAATTTGGTTTAAAAAAAAAAATCTACAAAACGCAGTAAAACAAAGTATATCTATATTGCTTCTAAGAAAATTTTCATTTTTGCCCTGTTCCCTGTCATCCCTCCTCCTTGAGATGGAAATCAGACACCTTTGTGGGTTCAGATTGAGTGCTCCCCACCAGCTCACATCTAGAAGTTCCCCAGCTCTGTTGAGGGTGTTTTCTGAGCTGCCTGCTTGAGCCTTTGTCTGCTGCACTCCAGGTAGGGGTGAGCCCAGGCTCCAGTCTGCTGGTAAGGCCTTCCTCTCTCTTCCCCACTCAGGTCTCCTCCTCAGCTTCCTCCTCCTCCCACCATGAGGCCAGTGGTCAGGAGACCTCAGAGAGCAGCAGGGACTCAAAGGGGAAAAAGTCTTCCAGCCATAACCTGAGTCACAAGGGGAAGAAACTGAGCAGTGGAAAAGGTGTGAGCAGTTTTACCTCCACCTCTTCCTCCTCCTCTTCCTCCTCCTCTTCCTCCTCCTCTGGGGGGCCCTTCCAGCCTGCAGGTGAGTGAGGGGTTCCTGAAGGAAACTGGGAGGGGGCATAGTCTGTTGCCCAGAGCTTTTCTTACAAGCACTTTGCATACTGGTTTTTCATCTCATTTACTTTTTAAATTGGCTCAGCATAAACATAAGGGATCCCCACCAGTGATTCTCCATGCCCTCCCCTCAGGCCTTCCTTCCCTCTCAGAGCCCAGCCCACCACCCCCATGACCTTACTCATTATCACCTATGCTGTGCTGCATGGTGCCTTCTGGAAAGCACTGGTATCCTCTCATACAATCTAGCTGGCCTGGGCAATTATTCTACTTTATTACAACTGGGAGAGCTGGAGGAAGGGATTTGGCTCAGGACACTGAGACTATTGGTAACAGAGCTGGGTCAGGAAGCAGGCTGCCCCACCCCAGACCAGCTCTTTCCCACCCCTGCATGTAGGATATGGAACAGAGTAAAGGAGTCTGGGTCTAGCTGCAATTCCCTTTCCCTCTGCACAGCCTCGTCCCTGCAGAACTCCCCTGACTTCTCTGCATTCCCCAAGCTGGAGCAGCCAGAGGAGGACAAGTACTCCAAGCCTGCAGCCCCCACCCCTTCAGCCCCACCCTCTCCCTCAGCTGCTGAACCCCCCAAGGCTGATCTCTTTGAGCAGAAAGTGGTCTTCTCTGGCTTTGGGCCCATCATGCGATTCTCCACCACCACCTCCAGCTCAGGCCGGACCCGGGCCCCTTCCCCTGGAGACTATAAGTCTCCCCATGTCTCGGGGTCCACGCCCTCAGCAGGCACCCACAAGCGGATGCCCACTCTGAGCGCTGCCCCTGCTCCTGCTGAGGAGATCCCAGAGACAAGCCTGAAGGAGAAGAAGCACAAAGCCAGCAAGAGGAGCCGACATGGCCCAGGCCGTCCCAAAGGCAGCCGGAACAAGGAGGGTGCTGGGGGTCCCACCGCTCCTTCCCTGCCTGGTGCCCAGCTGGCTGGCTTCACCGCCACAGCTGCCTCGCCCTTCTCTGGAGGCTCCCTGGTCAGCTCTGGCCTGGGTGGCCTGGCCTCCCGTACCTTTGGGCCTTCTGGGAGTCTGCCCAGCCTAAGCCTGGAGTCCCCTCTGCTGGGGGCAGGTTAGTGACCCCTGAGGAAGGGCCTGGCCCAACCAGCCCTGTGAGGGGATAATGCAAAAACAGGCAGTTAGAGTGATAGAAACTGCTCCACAGGGATAAAGGATGGAAGTGACAGTGACCTCCAAGACACTCCGTGTCCCAGTCTTTAAGCATGGCTATAGTGGGAAAAATTGAGATATACTGCTAATAGGATCTAACAGATTTGGGGAGGGCATTTGAAAAACTCCCAGTGAATTCTTCAAGGTAGGGCAGCCTATAAGTAGGCATTGTCACCAGAAATGGCATCTTTGCAGCAAGATTTTACAGTGTGAGGGGCCAGATCCGGGGAATTATTCTCCCTAGGGAGGGGCAGCATGAGATACTGACTGAGGAGAGGTCTGGGGATAGTGACTGGAAGTTTCCCCCTGTCCTTGTGCCCATAGGCATCTACACCAGTAATAAGGACCCTATCTCCCATGGGGGTGGGATGCTGCGGGCTGTCTGCAGCACCCCACTCTCCTCCAGCCTGCTGGGGCCCCCAGGAACCTCTGCTCTGCCCCGCCTCAGCCGCTCCCCATTCACCAGCACCCTCCCCTCCTCTTCTGCTTCTATTTCCACCACTCAGGTGAGGCCACTGAATGTGGGTACCCCTCCTCTGGGCAAGTGAGGGTCAGACTGCTGAGTGCCTTAGCCTTCAGTGGGAATTCTGATTGAGAGATGGGGCCTAACCACCACCCAAACATCTCCCTTTCCCTGCTCTTCTCTTTCCCACCACTCTTCACCGCATGCTCCCCCAAAACACACACACACACACACACACACACACCCCCTCCAGTACACACAGTTGTGCCCTAGATTCAAGAATAACCACCATGGACTCTACCTCATTTTTCTCAGGTGTTTTCTCTGGCTGGCTCTACCTTCAGCCTTCCTTCTACCCACATATTTGGAACCCCCATGGGCACCGTTAACCCCCTTCTCACCCAAACCGAGAGCAGCCACACAGGTATGCAAGTTTCTGACTCCTTTTCTTCCCAAAGGGGAACCCCTGCATGTGACCTCAGAAAGGATGGGAGGGCTTTCTCGCTGCCCCCTCCCTCTGCCTACTCTGCAATAAAGTACTACCACATACAACAAACCAGGAGACACCCGTGCTATAGAACCAGGCAAAGGACAGGCCAGGGCAGAATTGCTGCCCTATCTCAGGACAAATGATGACTTGATGTAGGAATTGAGTTAGAGAATGGCGGAGCTAGAACTCAAATTCTGGGCTCCTGACTCCAGGCACAGTGCTTTTAACCACTGCAGCAAAGCTCACTTGCTTTTAAGTGGCCTCTGATGTGTTTGGAACCCATGTTTACTGTAGTCCTTCCAGCTGGATAATCTCCGGGTATTTAGTAGTTAAATGGGCGGGCCTCAAACTCTCCACCCCCTCCCTCCCGGAGTCAGTCCAGCCCCAGTAAGCTGATTGGTGCACGACCCCACCTGTCAGGCCAGGGGGCGGGGCTTGCCTTAGGGCCGCGCTGTCAGGTAGGCCAAACCTTAAAGAGGCTGGATCCCATTCCAGGTGCAAGACCTGAAGAAAAGGTTAGCTAAATTTTCTGAAACCTAGATCGGAATTCTGCGGCCCACCAAAGGGTTTTGTATTCTGATTTGTAAGTTTATGACTATTAAAGAGTCATAACGTTAAATCATGGTAATAGCTACAGTTATGGGCTTGTTTACTGTCAGTTAAATGGTTCACGTTTATTATTTTATTTAATACTCCCAATAGTTACTTCAGAGAAGCTGGTTATGTTTTCAGAGTCACACAGCCAGTGTCATATTTCTCTAACTCTAACGTATCCTGGAAAGAAACTTCGAGGTGGATCTGAAAGTAGCTAGGTAGCGGGAGATTCTCTGTCTACAGAGAAAAAAAATCCCAGGGCCTCGCCTCCTAAGGGACCGGGTTTCCAAGTCTGGGATCACAGAGCCCTTCACCTTAAAGTTCAGATCTGGACTTGAGAGACCCAGGGTCAGGGTCTGCCATGAGGTGCTGGGTCACGCACCTTTCCCCGGGCGGGCGGGTCTGCAAATCTGACAGAACCCACCCCCACTGATCCCTGCTCCTCCTTCTCCTTCCAAGAGCCAGACCTGGAGGACTGCAGCTTCCGGTGTCGGGGGACCTCCCCCCAGGAGAGTCTGTCTTCCATGTGAGGGAGGGGGCGGCGGTTGGGGGAGGGAAAGGGGGGGGCTAAGAGGGACACCCGAGGGAGATAGGGGTAGAGAGGCGGGCACCGGGGTAAAGCGGGGACCAAGGGGATGGATGGAACGAGGGAGGCGATCCTGGGGGCACAAGGTAAGCTTGAGCCCGGTTTTCCCTCCTGACCTTAGGTCCCCCATCAGCAGCCTTCCAGCACTCTTCGACCAGACAGCGTCAGCGCCCTGCGGGGGCGGCCAATTAGACCCCGCAGCTCCAGGAACAACTAACATGGAGCAGCTGCTGGAGAAGCAGAGCGATGGCGAGGCCGGAGTCAACAGTGAGGAGGGGTGGGGCTAGCCTGGGAGAGGTCCGAGGAACCCTAGACCCTGACACCTTTCTCCTCTGAGGTCTCTTAACGCCCCCCACCCCAGACCTCACCTTGATCCCTTGCAAGGCTTTACTCCACCAAAGGCCCTCACTGCCTCCTAGGGATGACTGAGCCCCAGCATTTGCCTTTCCAGCCCTTCCCATGTCGTTGACCCCAATCGACCCTATCAGGGGTCTTCAACACCTCTGGCTTCCCAGGTCTGGCTTTTCTCGGCTCACCTGTGTCCCCGCCCCCGTTAGGCCCCGCCCTTCCGGCAAGTCCCGCCTTCGGGCCTGCCAATCTGCCCCTAGCCCCACCCCCCTGCCCCGCCCGCACCCCGCCCCTCCAGGGGAGGCCTCAGGTTTTTTCCTCTCTTCTACAGTCGTGGAGATGCTGAAAGCGCTGCACGCTCTGCAGAAGGAAAACCAACGGCTCCAGGAGCAGATCCTGAGCTTGACGGCCAAGAAGGAGCGGCTGCAGATTCTCAACGTGCAGCTCGCTGTACCCTTCCCCGCCCTGCCTGCCGCCCTGCCTGCTGCCAACGGCCCTGTCCCTGGTCCCTATGGCCTGCCTCCCCAAGGTGAGGGGTCTCGCAAAGCCAACGGTAGTTAGCGCCTTTGGCCCCAACCCAGCCCCTGACCTCCCCTTCTGAACCCGTATCCTCAGCCGGCAGCAGCGACTCCTTGAGCACCAGCAAGAGCCCGCCGGGAAAGAACAACAGCCTGGGCCTGGACAACTCGCTGTCCACGTCTTCTGAGGTGGGCGCCCCAGCAGTTGCGGGGTGGGAGGGTTAGGGTGTCTGCTACTCTTGGAGGCTGGACAAGGATATGATTGACTCCTTTATTAAACAAATAATTATTAAGTGTCTACCCAGTGCTAGGCACTAGCAAAACATGAAGTGACTAAAACCAGCCGGGCACAGCCTGCTCCTAAAGATAGACGACCAAAGCCAAGGAGAGGGTAAATAATTATAAAGCAGGAGCAGTGTTAACAAGGAAAAAAAAACCCCAGGGCTGAGAATAAGAATGGAGGGGGAGTCCTTCCATAGATAAGGTGGTTAGGGAAGGGCTTTTTGAGAAGTATTTGCCAAGGCTTTATTATAGTGCCTCCCGCAAAATAATCCCTCTCTAATTGGTGGTGGTTAGGGTAGCAGCTGTTATTGTTACACTGTGGTTATTATTGGAATCAGACTGGGTTCTTGTTCTCTCCCCCCTACTTATTAACTGTGTGATTGAGCAATAATAATCCTAATAATAACAAGCATTTATTGCACACTTACCCTTGCTGAGATTTTAATGTGCTGATTTATTTAGTCTTCATAATAACTTTATGGAACATACCCTACTATTACACTCACGTTATGTATGAGTGAGGACTCTGAGGTGAAGAGAAGTGGGGCCCAAGGTCACACACTCACATCACTGCATTGTGGAGGTGGCATTTGAACCTTTCAATTCAGCTGCCATGCTGAATTCAGTTACCTGACCTGTTAAGAATCAATGGCTTCACTTAGAACTTGGGAATAATAATACAGGTCAAGCACTAAACCTTGAGTCTGGTTCTTTAGGTGGTTATTGCTGTTGTCACTGTCACTCATTATTAAGCAAGGGTCCTCAGAGGTGCTGGACACCCTGGAAATGCTTAGTAAACACGATTTGCAGAAGACTGCTTAGATTTTTAGTCTTCACCCTAGGGCCTTGCTGCTTTCTTCGGGCTGGCCCTGCCTGTGGGGGGGATGAGGCATGGGCGCCTGCATTCTGTGAGACTACTGGTGGGTGCTGGGCCGGGGGCCAGAAACACCATGCTGGCCCCTTGCTCCTCTGACCCCTCCCTCCCCCTCCCTTCCCAGGACCCACACTCAGGCTGCCCAAGCCGCAGCAGCTCGTCGCTGTCCTTCCACAGCACGCCCCCACCGTTGCCCCTGCTCCAGCAGAGCCCTGCTACTCTGCCTCTGGCCTTGCCTGGGGCCCCTGCCTCGCTCCCACCCCAACCACAGAACGGATTGGGGCAGGCAGCTGGGGCAGCGGGGCTAGGGGCCATGCCCATGGCTGAGGGGCTGCTGGGAGGGCTGGCGAGCAGCGGGGCCCTGCCCCTCAATGGGCTTCTAGGGGGGTTGAATGGGGCTGCCGCCCCCAACCCTGCAGGCTTGAGCCAGGCTGGTGGGGCCCCCACGCTGCAGCTACCAGGTTGTCTCAACAGGTGAGGGGAGAATGAGCTCTGGGGAAGGGAAGGGGGGAGGCTGATTCTGGGAGGAATACCCCCCAATGTCAACAATCCCAAGGAAGGAGAAATGCCCTCTGCTCTCACAGGATATACAAACCTAGTCATCTCTTGGTCTCTCGGCAGAGACACGGCCTCCCCCTAAACTGTGTAGATAGCGTGTCCCCTGGATGATAGCTCTCCAGGGACCCGATATTCTGGGTATTTCTGCTACCCCAGACAGGGTTTCCTTCTGAGGAAGCTTTTCCATCTAACTAGTGTCCCTCCCACTGTACTCTGCACTCAGACTATATATCGCTCTAGTCGGCTAAGGTCTCACATCCTTGCCTCTCTCGAGCTGGGTCTGAGGGTCTGGGAGCTTGGTGGGGGGAATAGGGGAGTCTTTCCTGGCTCTTCTCCTTAGTTCATGTTTTGTTCCCCTGCCTTAGCCTAACCGAGCAGCAGCGACAGCTCCTTCAGCAGCAAGAGCAGCAGCTCCAGCAGCTCCAGCAGCTCCTGGCCTCCCCACAGCTGACACCGGTAATCTCTTCCCTTCCTGGCTCCTTCAGAGGCCCACCAGGCTTGCTCACACTCAGCAGTACCTGGAAGGGCCCATCATGGGGTGAGGGTGACCTATCAGAGCATCTCTGGGAACTGGGGAAGAGATGCTAGAGTGGCCCCAGATCACAGCCTAGTGAGGGGACCTGGAGGGTGTCAAGTTCTCAGTAGAACTACAGAGCATTTCTAACCCTAACATCCAGAATCTTCAGGAAGAAACTTCTGTAACTCCATGGTGTGTGTGGTGAGGTAACTGAACAGGTGATCCCCTTGCCCCGACAACCAGAGCAATTTCTTTCTCTGTTCTCTGATGGATTCTGCCAAGAACCCCTTTGAAAAAAGGAATTCAGACCTTTAATAACATTAAGGAAGTCGGGGGGGAAATTCCAGAACATAAGCATTTTCAACATAAAGGAACATTAGATATACAAGCACTTGTGTCATTTGATTTACATACAGGGTCTGAATGGGAACAGGAGAGGGAACAGCAAGATTTCATGATGTAAACCTTCATATGTTGTTTGGGTCTGGGGAATGTTGAGACTATCTATGGAAAAGAAATGACTCTTGAATGAAAAAGACAAAACAAGAAAGGGCTGCAGTTGAGAAACAATGACCTAGTCTAGTGGTTCTTAGTTTAGGAGGCTACCAGCTTAGGGGTGCTTAGCTTAGGAGCATTTGTGGTTTCCACATTTACTGAGGACCAGACTTCCTGTTTAATGAGTACGGGTTTGACCTCTAGTCCTGTAGGGTAGCTAAGGCCGGAAGTGGAGAATTAGAGACAGAACTCTGACCAAGTTTCAGGCCTCATAGGATGGAGCCTGGGCCAAGAAGGCCAAGCTGGCAGTGGGGAGAGATCCTGGAGACACCCCACTCCCCAGCCAGTGCCCTTTCTGGCACCTTTGCAGGAACACCAGACTGTCATCTACCAGATGATCCAGCAGATCCAGCAGAAACGGGAGCTGCAGCGGCTGCAGATGGCCGGGGGCTCCCAGCTGCCCATGGCCAGCCTGCTGGCAGGAAGTTCGACCCCTCTGCTGTCTGCAGGCACCCCTGGCCTGCTGCCCACAGCATCTGCACCACCCCTGCTGCCGGCTGGAGCCCTGGTGGGCCCCTCACTAGGCAACAACACGAGCCTCATGGCTGCAGCAGCTGCGGCTGCAGCAGTAGCAGCAGCAGGCGGCCCTCCAGTCCTCACTGCCCAGACCAACCCCTTCCTCAGCCTGTCAGGGGCGGACGGCAGTGGCAGTGGCCCCAAAGGAGGGGTGAGTATGGGGCCTGGGGCCTTCCCCTGTCCTCCTGGGAAGACAAGTCTTGCGCAGAGGTGCATCATCAGAAGAACCAGAGCAGCCCCTAGGTCAGCAGAGTGCCTTGTTCACACACAGTCTCTGGAGCACATGCCTGTGCTGTCACATGCTTGCTCTCCTGCAGAGCCAAGGAAGGCACCCTCTGAGCATGGGCTAATAGTAATGGGACCAATTAGAAAACAGCATCCCTCTGGGAAGACCAGTTAGGAAAGGCTGTTTCCTCTCTGAGCAGACCAATTAGGAACAGGCCCTCTCTGGTGGACCAATGAGAGAAAGACCTCGCTGTCCTGAGAGGGCATACAGCCTAGCCTCAGATGCTGACCTTGACCGCATGAGCTAAGCACCCTGTGCAGGGCAACCACCCCACTTTCACATAGCGGCCTGATGTGGGCCTCACCAGAGCTGAGACCAGGGTGTCAGCCATGCTCCCTTTCTGTACCCTACTGTAGCTTTGTAGGTCCACGAAGCTGTTCTCAATTGGAACTCTCCCAAACCCCATCTTACCTTCCTCTCTTTCCAGACCGCTGACAAAGGAGCCTCAGCTAACCAGGAGAAAGGCTAAACCCACACCTCTCCTGACCTCCCTAAAGGAGGGGGGAATCCTGGCCTGAGGGGCCCTAGCCTGGAGCAGGCACCTGCGCTCAGACACTGGAGACCCCTGGCCCAGCGCTTGTGCTGGTGGCCCAGGAAGTGGTGGGCACGCCGGGTGCCAAGGACTGAGAGTGAGGGGCAGCCCCTTGCCCACCTAGTCTCCTCCCCTTCTGCACTGGCCCCTTTGTGAGGGGGCGGAGAGGGAGGACAGGCTGTAAGCCTGTCTAGAAGCCCCCACCCTCAGCAGATGTTTTGGGGTTACCCTGAGAGCAAGGTGGGCTGTGGCATAAGTGGGGGGTTAGTTAACCCCTTCACATAAAATGATCAGCACTTGAGTGAGGAGAAGTGGAGATTGACCCTGAGTAGTCTCAGCCCGAGCATGGAAGTTCTTTATGGAAAGGAGTGGCCTGATTTTTTCCTGCCATGTCTTTTGCATATGGCAGAAGGAGGGATCCCTTGGACTGATTCTTGCCACCTCTGTACCCCCAACAAGGGTCACAAGCTGAGCTTGTAAAAGCCTAGAAATGTAGGGGGTGCTGAGGAATGGGCAGGATAGCATCAGCCCACACCTCCCCACCTGTTGGGACACCCCCCACTGATGAGTCAGGGGTGAGCTGTTGGGGAGAAGCCCCCACCTTCAATGGTGCCCCTGTCCCTTGTTTGCACTATTGGATTTAGGAGTGCTGACGGTGGGGAGATGGAGCTGTGACTCAGAGTGTGGTGTGCGTGCCTGTGTGCGTGTGTCTCCTCCTCCTGGACCTGGTTTAGCCGAGGGCAGGGATAGGAGCAGTGGTCAGATGAGACAGCACCAGAGCAGGGAGTTCTCAGCTCTTGTTTGCACCCTCCCCACCTCACCAACTTTGGTCTCGTTTATGGGGCATGAATGGTTAACAAAAACCAGAACAGTACTCCAATATTGGAGAATAACTGGGGGCTGGGGGCTTTGAATCAGGGTACTATCCCAGCTTTCTTCCCCCAGACCCCACATGGTCTCAGTGCTCCCTCAGGGCCTCCCTCCCCCACTGAGAATTTGGTCCTGCTTCCCTGGCACAGGGGAGCTCCAGGTATTGGAAGAGGGACAAGGGAGGGTAAAGTCCCCCTTCCTGTAGTGAAAGCTTCTTCCAGAATCAACCAACCTGCCTTCCTAATCCCCTCCCCACCCCACAGACCAGGGGAGAGCTTCAGCTGACCTGACAACTGTTTCCTCACCCACCAGCTATTTCTTCTGGGGTATAGTGGGCATTTCTCACCTTAAAGAGCCCCTCCTGCCTACAGCCACCAAAGGCAAGGGGCCAGTGGGACAGGCAGGAGAGAGGCCAGGTTGAAGACTGTGTATGTGTTTCAGTTGCACTGGGGTTGGAGCCGGGGGAGAGGAACTTCCGCCTTCCCCTCATGCTCCTGTCATGTCTGTCTGCATGTGTGCATTTTCTTTGTGTGTGTTTCTGTTTGGGTTTTTTTGTTGTTGTTGGGTTTTGGTTTTGTTGGGTTTGTTGTTTTTGTTGTTTTTTTTTTTTAAATAAAGAAAAGAAGATGTGTATATTTTTGGCAATGACAGAAACGTAGTGCAGATATATTTTTGCCTGTGCTGCTCAATTGTTTTTTTCTGATACTGAAAATACTATTAATATTCCTGTTGATAACTTTGTAATATGTTAGGGAGCAGGTCATGGAGAGGGTGGGGTGGGAATCCTTTCAAAGGCAATTTCTTAGGCACTTGCAAGGGCTTGGGGGGCAGCTATGATGACCTCAGAAATACTCACTTTTTAATGCTAAGTATAAGAAAGACATGTAGCACTCAGCATCTTAATCTTACTAAGCTCTTTGACCCCCTGCACCTAAATCACTGAGGGGGAAAAAGCCCTTCAGAGATTCTTGGAAGAGTTGCTCTTTCATGCCCTTGCCCAAGGAAGCCCACTTACAGCTAAAGTCAACTTCTGTTCTAATGTTAAGGAAGTCAGTCCACTCGCTGTGGGCACTGTGACTGAGAAGTCCACAAGATTTAGTGCACTGGAGCCCTCCTCCCCCAAGCACACTCCAGCCCTTCCCCAACCCAAGGGTCTCCGTGGGGGTGGGGGGGTGGGGAGTGTCTTGTCACCCAGCTTAAGCTCTCCAGCTTTCCCAAGCCCTTTCTATTCCCCAGGCCAGTAATGACTGGTTGGATCTGAAGGAGGGACCCAGGCTGCGGAAGGATCCACCTCCCATACACATGGCAGAGTGAAGGGGGGAGGTGGGGAGTTCTATTTTCAAGGGAGTTTAGTATTAGGAAAGGTTTGGGCATCTTCAAGAGAACAGATGATCAGTACAGGGGAGTATCTATAATAACATCACCTTTCCCGTCCCAGCCTCAGCCCTTTTTTTGAGAATGAGTTTGGATGGGGGTGGGAGAGGTGGTAGATTGTAGATCTTGTCTGGAGGAGAGGGAGGATGTGGTTTGCAGAGAAGGCAGCTGCTGAGTTGGAAAGTACATGGGTGCACAGAGCTGCTGTCACTGCTCTGCTCTGCACCGAAGTGTGAGTGGGATGTGTGCTGGTTTGGCTGTCTGGCCTTGGGGTCACAACTGTGCATGAGTGTGAGCCAGCTCCTTTCTTCACAGGGGACAGCAGCTCCAGGCTCAGTGGCAGAGCCCAGCCTGCCCTCAGGGCCCTGGCCTCCTGGGCTTTTAGTGCTCCTACCCCTCCTCATTGTTACCAAAAGACTCCTTGTCTCTGAGAGTGATATGTGGTGTGAGTGCAGGGCTGGGCCTAGGATTCGAAGGCTAGGTAACACTGTCTTAGCTCAGAGCTGAAGGATCCTCTCCATAGACAAAGACACTTTAAAGGTTGCCTTTATTAGTTTGGGGGTTTTTAAACTGTATCATTAGTTTTCCCCAATTGTGAGGATTTTTTTCCCCCTAAGGCTCCTTGGTCTACTGCTGCCTCCAGGTGGAATGGAGGCTGATGGGTACCCAAGGTATCCTTATTTGCCCATTCTTTGCTGGGTTTTAGGGATGTGTTCACCTGGTAGGATGCAGGCAAGGCCTAGGTAAGAGATGGAAGCCAGGACCAAGGCCAGTTCTGAGAAAGAGTTAACATCTCCAAACTGGAAGACATTATCAAAGGTCTATCTCCGGGCCCTCCCTCCTTTCCAGCATATATTTTGGTATTGGGTTGGGGTGGAGATAGATGCGAGGAGGGTAGAATTAGGATTAAGGAGCTTGTGCCCGGTATAAGGTAATTTATGCTGGGAATTTGGAGGAAGGCAGGCAACAGCAACCCAGGCTCCCACAAACCACAGCCATTTGGATTAAAAATGTGTCTAGCTTCCAACCACTTTGTCTGTTCTACTGAAAAGGCAGGGACTGGATGATCCCTTCAGTCCTATTTGCTCCCTCCCTCCTTCCCTCCAGCCCAACTTGGGTCCTGAATGGTGAGACTGGAGGCCTGAACCCTGGCTGCCACCCTAATCCACTTCCCCACAGCCCCAGTTTGTCCAGATGTAGGAGCCCCTTCCCAGGGGAGTAGGAAGCCACGGATTGCAAACCTAGAGGCTCCTTTTTCATTCCTTCCAAAACCTTTAACTCCTCAGCCCCAAAGGCAATGGCCTCCCCTGCCACCTCCAAGCCTGAAACTGCATAACCCGGATCTTGTATCTTTGTATAAAGGATCTTATTTGTACGAAGGGCAAAATCGTAAACAGCACTTGTTCTTTTAATAAAAGAATGTTTTACAAGAAAAAAAAATCCAAAGAGACTCTGCTTTGTATGGTTATACAAAGGGAGGGGGAGAGCCAACTGAGAGCCCGCAGAGGGGATGGGTGAAGGTTTACATTGATCTTTCAAACCAATTGCACAAAATATTTACGTGTTGAAAATGCTGATACCTGAGCCCCACCCACAAGTGTTGATTGGGGCCCTGTGGGGTTATTGTTAAGCTCCCCAGGAGACAGAACGGCTCCCAATTGCACGTTGAAACCAGACCACCGACGACGCTGTGCGCAGGCCACTCTGTAGTCACGCTGGGGCCAGAGGGGGCGCCAGGAGCCGAGCGAGTCCCTTTCAGGCCGGCGGAGCCCGCGGGGAGGCTGCCGTGTGCTGGGTCCCGAGGCTCGGTTTCCGGCTGGCTTGGCCGGCCCTGCAGGCCGCAGGGGCCGGGCGGCGCCTTCCGGACCAAGGCGGGGCCCAGGCTGCCAGAGGCGGAGAAGGTGACCCGGCGCGGGGCGGCGTGGAAGCAGGAGCTGGCCTGGGGCTGCGATACAGGGAGGTCTGATGACGCTGGGCAGCGTGGGGGCGACCCTGCGGGGGGCGGCGCGCGGAGCCGGGGTAAGCACCGCCCCGGGCGCGGCCGACCCCCGGGCCTCGCAGCCCTTCCCTGAGCACGTCCGGCCTCGGTTTCCCCAGCGCCTGCTGGAGCTGGAATCCCCTCTCCAAGTCGTCTTCCTCATGCACGTTCCCTATCTTCCCTAACGTCCTTACTCTCTTCCTCCCCGCAACCTCTGTCCCTGCATTCCTTCCTTTCCGGTGTGCACGTCCTCCCTTTCCACTGATTTTATTTTTCTGTTTCAATCCACCGTTTCTTCGCGTGCCTCCCAAAAGCTGAACCAGAGGCGGGACTTCTCCTGGTTGGTAAGTATTTTCATCCTCCATATCTAGACTCAATTAGTCTAAGACCTGGGAATGTGACTGAGAAAGAGTACAGCCCAAGTGCCCACACGCCTTGTTGGGTCTAATCACAGTCACCCTCTAATCACCATGATTCTAAAGGGTGCACTGGGCCAGAGGGCATATGACAGGGAGCCAGGCTTCTGGGCTGGAAACAGCAGTGCTTGATAAACTAAGCCCAGGTAGGCACTGCCTTAGGGCAGGTGGATTCCCGCCCTGCCTGCCCTGGCTTTCCGGGAGGGGCAAGGGTTTGAAGGGAAGACTGGATATCTAAAACCTGTGTGCCTTTGCAGTCATTTCTGGGGCTCAGGTTCTTATGGTTCCTCTGGAACAGCGCCTGCTATATGGCATTCGATCCCGAAGGACAAAGCCTGGCCCAGGCCTGTCAGGAAACAGCTCCCAGGGCTTGTTCTCACCTTGAGCTCTCTTCTCTTTCCACAGACCAAATGGTTCTCCAAAACGCCAGCCAAGCCCTTGGTGGCCCAGAAGACACCCATCAAGGTAGAGCTGGTGGCTGGCACTACATACAGGTGGTGTGTATGTGGTCGTAGCAAGAAGCAGGTGAGAGACTCCATCCTACTCCTCTTTCTGTTGACTTATGACATCCCGTTTGAGGACAGCATTGTTGTCTCCTGGGATTTCCTGTCCAATATATTCCTCTTCTTCCCACACAAACCGACAAGATCAACAAGAGGGAAGAGAGGTGAGAGTCTTCCCGGGCCAGGGCCACCAAGAGACCTTGAATTCAGTTGTTCTCAGCATCAACCCTGGGAAGTCAGAGGCAGATGCATGTCACACAGCCAGACTAGACCTGACAGGACCTAGGCTCTAGATTCCTGTCTCCTGTTGACTCCCCTCTGCAGAGGCCTGGCCCTAAGCACCCAGCTCTGAGATAAGTGAGACTCTTTCTCCCCTGCCAAGAAACACTTGGGCCAGAGGCTCCTAGACCTCAGACCCAACACTAGGAAGATTTTGCAGACTTTTCTGACACACACAGTCTCCCAATTTCCCCAATATCCTCTTGCCAACCTTTCAGAAAATTCGTCCCACTTCTCAATGTAGCTTTTTCTCGATGGTCTGCTTCAGCTGGATGCCTAAGCTTAAGAAGCCTTTTTTGTCCCAGCAGAAACCGCCCCCATCTTCTCAACCTTTCCTTTCTGAGCTCTGAGCCTTATGCTTCTGAGGACCGTGGCATGCCCTGCGTCTTCACTTTCTGCCACTGATTTGTATGGATTTTGAGCATTCCTGAGGGTGGGCAGGGTCGGGGGGCTCACCTGGAGGAGCGTGGCCTACCAGCGGGAAGGCCCTGTTGGTTTCTACTTGTTCACTTTTCTCATTTTCTGTTTACGTTCTCTCTTAACCCTAACATGAATCAAGTCCAGCTCTGCCATTACCTAGCAAGTAGTCACTTCTGGCTTTCAAGTTCCGGCACCCAGTCTCTGCTCAGACAGCTTCCGGGATAGATGGGGAGCTTGCTCCAGCACCAGGCAGGGATACATCCTCTTCTTCCTTATAACGCCCACTTCTCCACAGCATGCCCAGGTGTTTCATGGAGCCAAACAAAATTTTGAGAGACCCCACAGTCCCAAAGCATAGGTCGTTCACACACCCTGGCTTTCTGCAACCCAGAGAAGTTTTGCTTCAAAGACATAGGGAAGGAAATAAATTTCAAGAACCACTGGAGACAGAGCCATTTAAGAAACAAAACTGCCTATTCATGTAAGCATAGCTGACATTTCACGTGGAAAATTCTATCCTGTGTCCTTCAGATACTAATGTTGTAAAAGCCACTCCCAAGCACTCACGTGGGCAAAGTGCTTTACTCTGTTATTTCCTCCTCACAACTCCGCTTACTCCCCCATGTTACATATGGGAGACATAAATAATTTGACTCCAGAGCCCACCATGCTCCCTCCTGACCCCCTGGAGCAGGTGGTCCTGGGTCTCTGATTTCTTTTTTTTTCACCAGCCCTTCTGTGATGGCTCCCATTTCTTTCAACGCACTGGCCTATCCCCACTCAAGTTCAAGGTCCAGGAGACTCGCAGTGTATTCCTCTGTACCTGCAAGGCCACCCAGAAGCCCCCATACTGCGATGGTACCCACAAGAGTGAGCGGATACTGAAGGCAGAAGTGGGTTCCCCACTCTGAGTTGCCCAAACTCAAGGAGCCTTCGTTCCAGACCTGATAGATACCCTTTTTATATGGGGGATAAATGGGCTGTTCAGCCCAAGAAGAGATCATCCAGGAACCCTGGTACCCAAACCTGTAAACTGGGGCTTCTATCTCTGGTCTTGGGGAGCCTAAAATAGGCTTCTGTGGCTGCTGGTAAAGAAGATGGCATTTAAAAAAAGCACACCCATCCAGAATGTTCTGTGGTCATTGGTGTGAGGTACCCACCCCACCTCTCTCCAGATTTTACCCTGTGTGGGCTGATCACCTCCCTGTTGGAGGGAAGTTCTTATGGATTCCATATGGAGTCCCTCAAGACAATTGGACCAAGGTAAAAGGATGGGGAGGTCAAGGGAACCCATCCAGCCCTTCCCCACCCCTTCTGCCCAAAGAATTACAGGCTCGGAGAGTATGCAGCATTTATTACAAAGCCAAGAGATACAAATGTCCCAGGGCAGGAGGAGGACACAGTCACAGGACCCCAGACACAGGACAAGGTGCAAACACAGACAAACCCCCTGGGTGGGGGCTCCCAACCCCACACACCTACTTGTGATAGAATTGTCTTCTTCACCTTCTCCCAAACTATGTACATTTGAGGAAAAACAGGTGGGCTGGGGTCTGCCCCTAAGGAGTATGAGATGAATCAGACCCCACAGGTTTTTGTCTTGTGCTTTTAGATGCCCCTGTGGTTCTGTCCTGACTCTGCCTCAGGTGAGGGTGGAAGGGATGGAGGGCTAAGTTTGCCCTGGGCAAAACCTGGAGTCTGTGCTTGTCTGAGATTTACCTGACTTCCCCCTCTGCCTTGCCAGGCTCCCAGGTGAGGCCTCACCACCAACAATATTGGGTAAAGGTAGGAGGTGATGAAGCTGGTCATGATGCTAAAGCCACAGTGGCATTCCAAGGGCTGAGGCCTCCTAATGCCTGAATCTTCTCTTCCACAAGATAAATGATGCAAAGGCCACACACACAGGGGGAGAGGGAAGGGAGGGGGGGAAAAGGCAGAACTATTTATTCTTTGCACAAAGTTTCCACTGCAAGAGGAAGAGGTGAAGAGATGCCGCCTCCACAGGCCACCTGCTCCTCAGAACCAGGGGATAAACTGCATTTGTAAAAGGCACTGTCATAGCAATTCTCTAGACATTCAACAAATGGAGGGAGGGGCATACTGGTTGGGGCAGGACAGCAGCCAAGATGAGTAGAGCAATGGGGTAGACCCCTCTACACACCCAGATAGAGTTGTGCCTAAAGCTTTTAGAGCTAGTGGAGCCCCTTGGTACCCCATCCACTTTGGGGAACACAGGGAAAATGGGACAGGCCTTTACTGAGCCTCAAGTGGCCCTTCCTGGCCACTTCCAGGCACCCCAAAAAGAGCAAATTACACAAGACCCCTAAAAAGGAATACCCCCATCCCACACACATACATACACATACACACACATAAAGTTTTTGTTTCCTGTGGCATTTAAATTAATCTGGCTGGTCCATAGAAAATAAGTATGTATATTTGGTTTTTCCTATGTACATATATATATAGATTTATTTATAAAACCCACCCCCCACCCCCAAGGTGGGAGGAGCTGGGAAAAAAGTAGAAGAGGTGGAAAAAAGGGCCCAGAAAAAGTGGAAGGGTAGAGAGGCATGGCTGGAAAAGGAGAGGGTCCTTTCCCTCAAGTTAAGGGGGGCACAGGCGCACCATTGACCGTCATCTTGCGCCCCCTGCTGGTTGAAGATGGTGTTTGCAGGCAGTTCGAGGTACCCCCGTTGGCAGCTGTGGAGGTCCCACTGGCTGTCGAAGGGGGAGTAGGGGAGGTAGGGTGGGCGGCTGGGGGTCCATGGGAGCTGGGAGAACCATGGGAGGGGGTGGCTGGGCTGGGCAGGGAGGAGGAGGTGGCTGGCAGGGTGGCAGGGCTGGGAGCCTTGTCGCTGACTGACTCACACTCGGAAGCCCCGCTGGTATTGGTGCCTTCCGAGAGGGTGGGCGCTGTGGGCAAGGTGAGCCGCTTGCAGGCTGGCTGGACGCGATACTTGAGGGGGAGGGGGCCGTTCTGCAGGGAGGAAGGGACAGAGAAGGAGGGGCTGCTGTCAGGAAGAAAAGGTTGCCACCCAGCTTCAACTCATAGGTGCCCCAATTATTATTATTATTATTTTATTTTAAAAAAATACTTTGGAGGAGAGCCTTAATAGTGAAAGAAGACAGAGGAGATCAGAGATACGGAGTATAAGAGAGACCATAAAGAGAGGCTCAGAAAAAGCGAATGGGCAGAAGGAAAAAGAGCTATAAGAAAGGCAGAAGAATCCTGGATTTTGAGCACATTCCAAAGGATCCTTTTCTCCTGCTAAGCCACCCTAGGCATGCCTAGTGCATGGGACAGGGGGTGAACTGTGATTAGAACAGGTTCCCGGCAGGCACTGATGAATGCTAGAACCTGTAGGAGTCCCTTCCCCATCTCCCCCCATCCTGCCCAGCCTGGCTCACCCGCCGCCAAGGGTAGATATAGGCAATATCCATGAGGGTGTAGTATTCCTTCAGTGGCTCGTCCTCATAGAGAACCTCCACCTGGGAGAGGAAAGGAAAGGATAGCATGACCCTGGCCAGACTCAGAGCTCTGATCACTGCTTGAGTCTACGGGGTCATTAGGAGCATTTTTGGCTGCCAGGTAGTTCCTTATTAACCCTGGGAAATTTCAACATGAAGTTGATTTCCCTCTCAGAGCTCTGACAACGTAACTCCTGTCCACCAGGTGGGAAGGTACTTCTACATTGTGAACATGCCCTCAAGCCATCCACAGTGCTCTGGCCAGAAGCACTCAGGGGGTGGGGGGTGGGGTGGGGAAGGCCCCAGGTGAGCAGGATCTCCTGCAGCACACCGCTGGCTGCTAGTGGAACTGTCCAGTGGAATCGGTGGCTTACTCAGAAGGTATTTTAAAAATACTGATGCTGGGTGCTCACACGCACAGGTTTGGTTAACGCAGCAGCGAACTCCCTGTCTACGAGGGCTCCACAGCTCCTGACCTACATGAACTTGGACTTAACTGGGATGGCATGAAAACTAGGCATTGGGAGTTTTGAAATGTCCCAGGTGATTCTAATGTGGAGTAAAAGCCTAGGATCTCTTCTTGAAAAGGAAACCTGGTGGCCTGGTGGGTAGAGTGTAGGGCAGTTTGAATCCACCAGCCGCTTCACAGGAGAAAGATGAGTAGTCTCCTCTTGTAAAGATTTCTAGCTTTGGAAACCAAGTGGAGGGTTGATGGCCATAGATTTGGGTCATCTTAAAGCCTGGCTTCCCTTGGGGAGCCCTGGTGGCCTAGTGGCAAGAAGCTGCACTGCAATCCCAGAGGAACATGGTTCGAATCCACCAGATGCTCTGCCGGAGAAGCAATATCCTCCTGTACCGGTCAGGTCTGATTTGACGGTACACACACACAAAATAATTAAAATAATTTAAAAAATTTAAAAAAAAAAAGCCTGGCTTCCCAAAATGTGGCCCCATGAACCAGCAGCAGTGGAAATGCCTATTTCAATGCTACTCTTCAGGCTTTCAGAATCAGAATCTGCGTTTCAACTAGCTCTACAAAGACACATATCCATACTCAGTGGTGGGAAGCACAATTCTATGGCTTCTTCACAAAGTCAGTTTGCCTGGCTCAGATATATCCTATGGTAACACACACACACAAAGTCACAATTCCAAGAGTATGCACACTCAAACCCCTTTTGGTTTGAACACTGACTTTAGGAGCCTAAATGTCCCACCCTAATTTTGGTCTTAACTGCCCTTCTGCATAGTAACTCATGTTAACTTCGGTGACACCAGCCAACCCAGAACAAAAGCTGAGGTCTACGAATTATCAGACCTTCACACATCCTGGGACCCACCTTGTACTTGCTGGGTACATCCATCTTGTTGCGGAGAAACTTGGCGAGATGCATGACGGTCATGGCTGCAGGGCACCGCAGGAAGCGTACCCCTGTCTGCTGGAAGGGAGGCACCCATGGGGCTTTCACTTGAGCCAGCCGCCCAGCCCACACCCGCTCCTGGGCAGATCCAACACTCACCTTCTCCTTGTCCCCATCCCCATTTTCCAGGGGACCCTTCTTCTCTTCCCGGTCCCTGTCAGGGTAAACAGTGAAACTAGAGACCCCCTGGAGAAGACAGGATGGCCCCAGTCCACACCCCTATAGGGCCCTCCTGAAGGCACCCTTTCCTCCTAGGGGAATGAGACTGGGGTGGGAGAGGTGGCACCCCAGTAAATCAGCTTTGGGCCAGACTTGCCTAACACCCTCGTAGAACTCGATGGAGAGGCTGACAATCTCGTCGTCGCTCAGGGCCCCCTTCTCCTGTTCCAGAACCTCACCACGGTCCTCGTTGGAGCCATTGGGGACTGTAGAAGGAGAGAGCTCTGAGAAGCTGGCCTCAGAGGGGGGAATGTGCCCCACTAGGACCAGGTCTTGGCTCTCAACAGGGTGGGAGTGGGGATGTCCAGCAATGCTCAGGCTGGTAGTGTGGAAGGGGCATGACAAAGTCAGAGGGCGGGGGCAGCGCCACACTCACACACTTAAGCCCCAGGCTGTGAGCACACACATGAACACACTCACCCTCCGTCAGGGGGTACGCTGCATAGAAATCCCGTCGCCGTTTCATTTCATCTGGAAGAAGGAAGTAGGGTGAGGAGAAGGGAGCAGACAAGCAGACAGGGTGGGGGATGGATAGCAAGTACCTTTAAAAAGGCCAGGGACCAACTTGTAGACAATATCTTGGAGGGTTTTGTCAGATCTGAAAAAAAAGTGTACAGAGTGTCAGCAGCTGTCACACCCTGGTCTCTCCAGCCACGAAGGGGTCCCTTTCCTTCCTCTCTTCCTGAGATGCCAGACCTTAGGGCTCTTGCAGGTGTGTCTTTCCCCCCATGTATTTGTTAACCTATGACAAGCTGGATGCACACCAGGGGGAGGGGAAGGGCTGGATCCTATGCTTCCCA